GGGGTCTGGGCCTTGTGTGGGTGATGTGGGCTTGGGGCAGCTGAGGGTGGCCTTCTGGTTCTTCCTTGGTTCTGGGGAGACAGTGCCTGGAGAAGCAGTCCTGGTAGGGCTGCTTGGCTTGGCCTTCAGATTCTGCATCAAAGGAAACAAGATCCACCCTTCATTCATTCCTTCATTTATTCATTTACCTAACAGAGTTGGGCACTGAGCAGCTACCTGGTACAACTTAGGACTGAGGCCACAGCTGGGAGCAAAACCCAGTCCGTCACTGAGTCTGCCTTCCATCCCCACTCACAGGACCCAGTCCTTCCATTTCCTCCTTGTTCTTCCTCCCCAGTTAGCCATAGACCAGGACTCTGGTGATCAGGGATTCTCGCTTTTTGTTCCTTCCAGAGGGCAGTGGTCAGCAGATGTCTCCTGTTCCTGGGCCCTGGTGTCCCCTCCTCCACTCACAGTGCACAGAGAGGCTCAGGGAGATGTGCAGGGCGCCCAGCAGGTTCTGCGCCCGGCAGGTGAATTCTCCTTCATGTTCTGCCTCAACCACGGGCAGCTCCAGCACCCCAGGCTCCGCGGGCCAGGGGGGCTCAGCGTTTGCAAACCCCGGGCCCAGCTCAGCATGGCCGGTGGGCAGCTGTGTGTGGCAAAGACTAGGTGCTGTCTTTGTCCCTGCAGGACGCAGAAGGATGAACCGTTCCTGTGGATTTCCAGCTCTAGCGAGGAAGAGAGAGAGATGTGGGGCGCCATCCCCACCTGTAAAGGACGGGAGAGGCCCGGATTCCTGTGTCCCCTGTCACCTGTGCTGTTTCCTTGAGAAGCGGTCACTGTCAGCACCTCCGGAGGGTCTGCAATGGAGACACAATGGCCAGGGCTCCCTCTGCCTGCGCCTCACACACAAACCGAGGCCCTGGGCTTGCTGGGCCCTGGAAGCTGTGGCGCCCTGACCCCTCCCCAGACCTCTCCACTGTACTTCCCCTTCCCCTTCCGCATCCCCACCCCTACCCTCCTTGAGTCCACTCACACTGCACAGAGAGGTCCAGGCCATGGTGATGGGAGTCAAGCCTGTTCTCTGCGTGGCAGGTGTAACACCCCGCATCTCTGTCCTTCACCCTGGGCAGGTCCAGTTCCAGGATTCCAGGATGCTTGACATTTGACCTTGAGAGGACTCAGCTACCCAGGGCCCAGGTCAGAGTGGGGTGGGGGGCCGGTCAGCCACAGTGCACAGCAGCCCCAGGAAATGGCCTTTGTGGACTCCACCCATGTCGTGTTTCCTTGGGGACTCTAGGGAGATACAGGAGAGGGGGAGACAGAGACAGAGACAGCAGAGACACACAGACACACAGACAGACTCCCAGAAAAAAACAGAGATAGGCAGAGAGAGACAGAAAGAGAGAGACACACAGACGATGGGCAGACAGAGAGTGGGGCTTGTAGAAGGAGTTGGTCCCCTCCACCCACCCTGATCTTTCCACTTCCACAGGTCCTGGCAAGCCCCACCCCTTTGGCCTCACACCTTGGGTGTTGTCATGGAAAATGGGGATCACCAGGTCTCTGGGGGCACCTGCATATAAGGCTGTGCACTCTCTTCAGGAAGGACATCCTATCACCACAACCAGAGCCCCCTCCCCCCTCTGGGAAGACAGGCTCAGCTGGACCCCTAAACATGCTTCTTCACCCCCGCACACACACTCTAGGATGCCTCATCTGGCCAGAACTGAAGCAGGGACTCACAGGCCACCCTCAGCTGGATGGTGTTCTGCACAGTGACGCCGGCTCTGAAGTCCGCTCGGCAGGTGAGCTGGGTGCAGTGGTCGCATGGGTGTGGTGTGAGGCTCATTGCTGACAAGGAGGGCTGGGGTCTGCTTCTGGTGGGGGAAAGGGCAGGCCCAGACTAGGAGACGGCAGGGCCAGACAGTTCTCAGAGACCCCATAAACCACATTGAAGACGGTCACCACCCGCCTGGGCTGCAAGGCCTTGGGAATGAAGATGTCTGGCTTAGTCATGTCTTGGGTGGTGGGGGGAGGGAAGAGGGTAGACCATATGGCCATGTTCAGGAGACCCTGCCTCCATCCCCAGCCTGGGAACCTGGCCCCCGCACACCCCACCTGTCACTTCCAGCCCGAACATGTCCACCAGGAAATTATATTTCACCTTCTCTCCTTTCTCCAGCTGGAAGAAGTAATGCCTCTGGTCCTCTCTCTGGGCATCTCAGATGTGTAGGGTGCAGTTGTTCCTGTGGGGGTTTCCAAGCAGCTGGAATCGACCCTGAGTCCAGGCTTGCGCAGGTTGAGCTGGGTTGGTAGAAGCAACGGGTTCCCCGGTGGCTGTCGGTTCCTTGTGTGAACCAGTAGCCATGAGCTGGAGAGGAATCCAGACCTGCCTCCTGGCTAGGGTAGGAGAAGGAGCAGGGCACAAGGACGCACAGCCCTTCCTGCACCTTCACCGGGCTCTGCACCTGCACCTTGTAGCCCGGTTTCTGAGCCTGGGACCCTGTGGGGAGATAGATGGACTCAGTCCCCATCCCAGCCCTGTTCCAGCCCAGCTGCCCACGGCTTTTGGCCACATACCGCCCAAGGACAGCAGCAGCAAGAAGAGGCAGAGCTGTGTGTTCAGACGCTGCATCCTGAGCTGCTCTGAGGCGATAAGAGCAAGGACAGGAGGGAAGTGCAGGAGGCCAAGTTGTGGTCACATGCGTGATGCGCACTGCTGCCGGAGAGGCTGAGCTGGACAGGGGCCTCCCCCATCAGCCATCTCCTGGTGCTGGGGTGTCTGCTGGGCTTTTGCACACAGGGAGCTGGGCCTGCCCAGACAACTCTGGGGCAAGGAGGGGAGGCAGCAGGCCTGTGTCTGGCTTTGGGTCCTGGTGGGGCTGGGGGAGGGGAGGAAGGGACTCTTCCCTGGGCCCTGTGTCACTGGGGAAGCCGAAATGCAAGCCCATGTCAAAGACTTTCTTGTGGGGGTCTGTGGTACAGAGGGAACACTTCTGGTGGGGATCGGTGTCCCTGCTTAGATGGACTTTTAGACTAAATATATACGAGTAATCTTTCTGTTTTTTCTTGGTATAAGAATAGCTTTATGCCTGGGAAGGTGGCTCAGAGGTAGAGTGCTTGCCTTGCATGCATGAGGACCTGGGTTCAAATCCTCAGCACCACATAAGCAGAAAAAGCCAGATGTGGTACGGTGGCTCAAGTGGTGGAATGCTAGCCTTGAGCTGAAGAGCTGAGGTGCCTGCGCCCAGGCCCAGAGTTCAGGCCCCACAACTGACAAAAGAAAGAAAGAAAGAGAGAAAGAAAGAAAGACAGAGAGAAAGAAAGAAAGAAAGAAAGAGAAGAAAAGAAAAGAGAAGAAACGAAAGAAGAAAAGCTCCAACATTGGAGAACTTACATTGAGAAAAAAAAATTGTTATCTAAAATTCAGCCTTAACTAGATATCTTCCTCTTTTTTTTTGTTGTCTTCTTCCTCTTCCTTCTCCTTCTTCTCTTCGTCCTCCTTCCTCTTTGTCTTTTGGTTTCTATTTCTTTTTTCTTTTTTTGGTCACTGTGTGTGGCTTGAACTCGGCCTCGGTGCTGTTCCCGAGGTCTTAAGCTCAAGGTGAGCCCTCTACCACTAGAAATACAGCTCCACCTCTGGTTTTCTGTTGGTTAATTGGAGATAAGAATCTTTCCTGCCAGCAGTGGCTTGAGCCACTATCATCAGATCTCAGCCTCCTGAGTAGCTAGGATGACAGTCGTGAGCCACTGGAGCCCAGCTTATTTTTCTGTATTTTGTTCAGCCCAACAGTTTGGACTCAGGGCCTGGACACCACCCTTGATTCTTTTTCTCTCAAATCTGAGGATTGACCTCCAGCCCCACTTCTGGCTAATTGGAGATTAGAATCTAATGAACTTGCCTGCATTGGCTGGCTTTGAAGTGCAATACTCAAATCTCAGCCTCCTGAATAGCTAGGATTACAGGCATGAGCCATTGGTGCCTGGTAATTCTGTTTCTCTATGGGTAGTGGATTCTGGTGGCCAACTGTAGTCTGTACAGCTAATTCATTTCTCTCTCTGTGTGTGTGTGTGTGTGTGTGTGTGTGTGTGTGTGTGTGTGTGTGTCCGTGGGCACGCTTGTACTGGTATTTAACTCAGAGCCTCACAATCTCCCTTTTGCTCAAGACTGGTGCTGTATCACTTGAATCACAGATCCATTTCCAGCTTTTTGCTGGATAATTGGAGAAAAGGGCCTCATGGGTTTTTTCTGCCCGGGTTGTTTTTAAACTGTGACCCTAGAGCTGTCCCCATGGTGGGTGAAGCCCACAGTGGCCTGAGGCAGCCGCAGGGGATGAGTCAGGGAACAGCTGTGACAAACTGAGAAAACCTCCTGTCAGTCATCATGAAGCTCATGGGAGATTTGGATCTTGGTAATGTCTGATTTTCTGAGCCAAAGATCCATCCTTGCCAATGTCAGACATTCATAGCTAATGTGTGGGAAAGAGTCTATAGTTCATAAAGTCCTTTTGTCTATACAATCTTTCCTTCTTTCCTTCCTTCCTCCTTTCTTCCTTTCTTTATTTCTTCCTTCCTTCCTTTTCTCCTTCCTTCCTTCTTTTTTCCTCCCTTTATTCTTTACTTGGTCTGATGCTGCTGCTAGAACTTGGCCTGGGTGCTGTCTCTGAGCTCCTTTTGCTGGAGGCCAGTGCTCGGCCACTGGAGCCACAGCTCTACATTCTGCTTCTTCTGTGATTAATTGGAGATAAGAGTCTCATGGACTTTCCTGACCAGGCTGCCTTTGAACCTCAGATCTCAGCTACAGAGGATTTAGGATTACAGGTGTGAGCCTAAGTGACCAACTGGTTCTTCTTTCTCTTTCTATTTCTCTCTTTCCTTCTGTCTCTTCACCTCCTTTTCCTCCTCCCCTCCTCCATCTCCCTTCTTCTCCTTCTCTTCCCCCCCACACTTTCTCTCTCTGCCTCGTGCTTTCACCACACTCTAATCCTTCTGCTTTTAGTCTGTTTTCCAAAGAGGGTCTCATGCTTTATCCTGGGCTAGCCTGGAACTGTGATCCTCCTATCCACGCCTTCCCAATAGGCAGAATTACAGATGTGCTCCATCTGGCCTCCTCCTTTCTTGTTCTCTGCACTGCTTGTGATTTAGGAGATCCCCCTGCAGAAGAAATTGTGAATTACTGTGTGTTTGAAGTGATGCCCAGGGTGGATTGCTGTCCTTCCACTTCCTCCTTACCTCCCGTATTCCTGGGGTCCTCCTTCTTCCATCCCCCCCATTTGGTACTCAGGGCCTGGACAATCTCTTTGTACTCAAGGCTAGCACACTATCACTTGAGCTACAGCTCCACTTGTAGCTTTTTTTGAGTGGTTAATTGGAGATCAGAGTCTCATTGCCTTGTCTGCCTGAGCTAGATTTGAAATGTGATCCTCAGATTTTACCTGCTAAGGAATTAGGATTATAAGTGTGAGCTACCAGCACCAGTCTGTGGATCTCTCTTATGCTCCTCTGTGACCTTTCTTGTTTTTGTTTTTATATTTCACTTTTAATATTTGTGTGTGTTGTAGAATGGAAAGAAGCATCTGTGCATGCTGGACAAGCACTCTACCATGAACCATGTCTCCACAGAGAGAACCAATAAAGGGCACAGGACAAGATACACAGCATTCTTGTGGTTCAGTACTGTGATCCTGGCTCAGTTCTGGGAGGGTCTGAAGGCTGCTTGCTGGAGGGTTTTGTTGTGGTTGTGGTTCTGGTATTGAGGCTTGAACTCAGGGCCTGAGTGCTATCTCAGAGGTTTTTCCTTCAAGGCTGGTGGTCTACCACTTAAACCACAGTTCTACTTCCACCCTTTTGGTGGTTAATGAGACATAAGAGTCTCAGGAACTTCCCTGCCCAGGTTGGCTTGGAACCCTGATCCTCTAATCTCAGCCTCCTGAGTAGCTAGGATTACAAGCATGAACAACAGGTACCTGCCTATTCCTAAAGGATGTGTAAATGTTACTAAAGCGACTTTACAGTGGGTGTTCTGAGTCTCTTTATTGCCTCCTCCTGGCTTCCTGGCTGAGGTCCAGATCTACAGCCTAGGGGACCCTCTGTGGAAATGGATTTCTGTGTACTTCTCCTCTGGGTCCCTGGGCCTGGGGGACTCCAGATGCCAGGAGAAGTTGAGAGCAGCATAATGGAGTTCTTCTGGGCAGCTCTGGGGGTCTGGGCCTTGTGTGGGTGATGTGGGCTTGGGGCAGCTGAGGGTGGCCTTCTGGTTCTTCCTTGGTTCTGGGGAGACAGTGCCTGGAGAAG